TAATTAATAATTTATATTTTATTCTAATTTATATTGTGTTGTCACACAAATGTCTTAAAGACGTCTACAAACGTCTAAAATTTTTAAGACGTCTTATAAACATCTTAAATTTAAGATATTGACATTTGTGCATTTGTGGATAGTTACTGTTTTACATCTAAGAGTGCTTGAATATTATAATTTATTATAAATTATTTTATTAATATCTCATATTTAAAATATATAATAATGATGTATAAATTCTTATAAATTATTATTGTTATTTGTATTTTAATAAATGTATGGGTAATATATTGTTTAAATTGTCAATCTGTTAGTTTTTAATATTTTTATTTTCAGGCAAACTGTTTAAACAATTTGTGCGACAGCACAAATGTCTTAAGACGTCTAAAAACGTCTAAAATTTTTAAGAAAATTGTCTTGTTAATATCTTAAATTTAAGATATTGTGCTGTTTGAGTGAAAATACTTTATTATCTTTTGTAAAAATGAACTACTAGTACAGTGAAAACACTACTGAAATGTAGTTGTATCACTGCTATATCAGCAGTGCCACTACTACATTTTAGTAGTGTTTTCACTGCACTGATAGTTCATTTTTACGCGGGATTAATTAGTATAGTATCCAAAATGACTATATATGATTGAAAAGTTTATTTGATGATCATGATATGGCAGTGAAGTCTGACAACTGTCGAAACCATAATTTTAAGGCTACTTTTGAGTACTACGTAAAAAATATGATAATGTTGCCACAAAATTGCCACGTGTTAAATCTGAAAAACCTGAAAAAGACAAAAAATACGAAAATATGTGACAACTTTGAATATAAATCACTTACGAATTTTACTTCAATACATAAAGGTGAGAGTTCTTGTGCAATGTAATGTTTCGCATGTTAGCATGGCAAGTTTGTTGTTTTTTACGTAATTTTTAATGGGTAATTTGCAATGGGTTCCGTATTTATCTTAATGAACATTTGATTAATTGTAAGTTAGGCTTCGCTTTCATTTTAAGTGTCATTGTGGTTCTTTGTGTTCTCTGCTAACTCTATTTGGAGATTTCCTCCACATTGAAATGGCAAATAGTGTTCTTAAGATATGATTTTGGAGTCTTATCTTTTTTTATGTACATGCAAAGTATGTGTTTTTGTTTTTATATTTTCATGTTTAGCACACTGGATGCGGAAACGCTTGCCGCGCAGCAAAATGCGACGCGGTAGCCAATAAACTTACAGCTCCTAAAAAAAGATAACACGTCCATTGGCTGTCGTCGTGTCTTGCCATGCGACAAACGTTTCTGCGTCTAATGTACACTTACGGTAATTGATTCTGTCCCTCGGAAATTTTCACAAACTCAGAAGTGATCACTTTTCTACAATTAGCTCATAATTCATGCACGATTAATAAAACAAAATAGACTATGAGCATTAATGCAAAAAAGTGATCACTTCTGAGCTTGTGAAAATTTCCGAGGGACAGAATCAATTACCGTGGGTGTACATGAGCCAAGGTTTTTTGATTAACTAATGTCTCACATATTTTTCTGCACTTATAAAGAATGAAGGATTTAAGGATATTTTGTACATTACAACCAGTTCAAAGTCTTGATTTTACAATGTGTACGAACAACTTTTACGTTTATCTATGTATGATGATCGATATCCAATACGAAAATTTGTTTTATATGAAACACTCTTCTATTGGATGTTGGTCGATACACATACGAAAGTTGTTCAAGATCATGGTACAGAATTGAGATCATTAGCTGTGTTAGGGCTATTTTACCGAACGCGATGGGCGATAAGCAACAAACATTATTTATCTAATAAAAATTCTATTTTTTGGACGTTACAACAGAAAGCAGAGTTTTCATTGGATATCTCTTATCGCCTATTGCGTTCAATGTGAAATAGTCCTTATGTGTGATTTTGCATATCAAGCGATTGCGTAAAAAAAATGTACTCTCATTAAATAGAAATGGCTGTCACTATTATTTATTCATGTTATAGGAATGAGACCACCATTGTCTTCTACGTGTAATGAGATTTTGTTAAACCAAGAAGAGAAGGTGAGTTGAATGTCACTGCGGGATGAGTAAGATTGAAGGAGTTTGTCTGTGATACACTTTTAATTTGCAATATTTTTTATTCTAATCAAATTTCTTTCATTAACCAGTGTTCTCTCCTATTAGATACCTCTTGGAGATGGAGTTTTTTGTTCCAAAGCAGCGTATAGTACATTAGTAAATGTGGAAGAAAGCCACGCTGACTGGGCATATGCCCTTCTCAAAAGAGTCTTTGGTGAGAAAGCGCACCTTATGCGAATTAAGAGCAAAAATACTGAGAATGAGAGATTTCCTTCGAACTTCCTCATGGTGGCCAAGTGTGAGTACTGTTTTATATACATTTTTTAAAATTATGTGATAAAGGAGGATGTTAAAAAAGTGCCAATTTTGGCTCAAAAAGGTGTAAAAACAATAGTTAACATCCTTTTTTAGATTATAAAAAGCTGAAAGCTTAAATTCTCTTTTTTATAGCTCTGCATCGTGATTGGTTAGTACAACAAAAGATTCAGGATGAGAATGGGCAGCTACATTCAAAATATTCAGCCACAGAAGTTGAGAAGTACGTGAATTCGCTTCCTGCTTATCTTGCGGATCGGGTATATGATATGCAGGGCCCTCGGGGCGCGAGGAAAGGAGGTGAAGACCTCAATGCTCCTGAATGCAGGCGAAATAGATCTACAGAGACGAAACGCAAATATATGAGAAGAGGTCAATCGCTGTTCGAAACGCAATTTCAACTACCACCTCCGCAGCAACTCATTCAACAGCTCGTCCCGCTTCAACAACCACTCCCATCTCAGCAACCACTACAGCAGCAACAGTCACTCCCACCTCAGCAACCACTACTGCAACAACAGCCACATCCACCTCAGCAACCATTATCGCAACAATCATATCAAGAACTGTCACTCCAACCATCACAACTGTTATTGCAGGAACAATTATTCCATTCCACCGATTTTCCGGCATCAACATCAGGAGCAATGACATGTGAAAATTTTGAGTACGAACTATTAAATTTGAGTACAATTTTATAAAATATTTTATAAATTTGTCCTTAATAATTTTCTTTTGTTTTTAGGACTGCAGCCACATTCACTACTCTTTAAGACTTGATCAAAATACAGAATGTATATGAATGAAATATATATTTATAATAATATATGTTTGATATATATTGTTTCATATTTTTTTATGCTGGTTGGTATCTTTTTATGTAATAAAATTCTATATCTACATATATATATATGTATTTATATTTATAATAATTATATTTTTGTTTTTATCGATTTTTCCTTACACTACTAAGGATTTATCTAGACAAACTTGCATATGACGTAAAGAGCATTTACTATGGTTTTAGGAGCGTTTTTAAACATTCTGTGACAAGACCTATCCAAACAAACTTGCATAACTGCATAACCATATACATAAAGAAAATTATTCACATTTTACGTACGTTCTTAATTGTAATAAAAATGTGATTGAATAATTTTCTTTATGCA